CAGGTGTTGCAGTATAGCCTGGCTAGAAGGCATAGAGGTATACAACGCCAGGTATTCAGGGAACAGAAAGAGAAGGAAGATATAGAGAGACGAGAAACTGAGTAATGAAGAAAGACAAAAAGGGAAAAGAAAACAAAGCAAATTTAAGAAAAAAAAAAAAAGAACAAGAAAAGCCCCCAAAAATACAGGGGAAAAAAAAAAAAACAACGAAAAAAGAAATGCCCTCAGGGATCCCTCTGTACGTCTGTGAAAGCCGAGGGGACAGGTTCCAAGCCACGCAGCACCACCTGGCCAGAACGGGCTCCCATTTCAGGAAATGGAAAAGAAAACAAACAATTCAAAACAAACTAACAAACAAAAGCCCCGGGATCCCACCAGCGCGGCAGCCCAGACCGGGAGGCAGCTCCACACTTGAATGGAGCTCCGCAGCCCCTCAGAAAGAAGCAAAGATGGCGCCAGGTGTTTGCGCGAAAGGAGGGGGAGGTGGTTTGAGGTAAGGAAGAAATCAAAAGAAGCGGACAAAAAGCAACACCAGCAGCCAACAAATGGCACTCAGAGAGCTGGCCCGTTCGGGTGGGTGGAATCCAAGCAGCCGGCGCTTCCCGTACAAGAGATTGTGGCCGCGGGAAGCAGAGGAGGCCGAGTGGGAGTGAAGAAGGGTAGGGGGTGGGAAAGCATATTTCACAAATTACCGGTGGTTTTGTCTCCCGCTGGAAGCTCCGTGAAGCTGCTTTCTCGTACCCCGTTTGCTGGTCTCCGATAGGAGTCCAATATGGTGGATCCGTGCTATGTTAGCTGATAGGGGACCTCTGTGTGAATCTCTCCTCGGTCTCCGTTTTCTGTCAGTTTTCTCACTCCATTTGCTGCTTGGCTGAGTTCTTTATCTCACCATTTGATGTTTTAGGGTTTCAGGACTGTTGTTTTCTGTGTTCGGCTTGGTTTTTTGGATCTTTGCTGTGGAAGGACAGCGTGGTGCTTCTGCCCAGAGCACCATTTTACTAGAAGTCAGTTTTATATATTTTAAATTTAGTTCTTGCATGTTTCTTGTTAAATTTATTCCTAGGTATTTTATAATTTTTGTTGCTATTGTGAATGAGATCCTTTTTTCCATTACATTTTCAAATATTGCTAGTGCTTCATATATCTGCTGTTGATTTTATGTCCAGGCACCTTCCTGAAAACTTTTGTTTCTATGTTTTTCTTGTACTTAGTATATGACTGGGTTTCTTTTATTTCATTTTGTTTCCAGACTCAGTCTGAGAGATTTTGTCCTTTAATAGGAGAATTAAACTATTCATGGACATTGAGATCAACTCATATATCTGGCTTTATTTCTGACATCTTACTTTCTGTTTTCTATTTACATGGTTTCCTGATCCTTTTCTTTTGGTTTTGTTTTCCTTTCCTGACTTTTACTAGATTAGTTGAGGTATCTTTGTTCCTTTTTTTTTTTTTATCCCCTAGTAGTTAGGCAGTTCATCATCTTAATTCTTTCTATTTGGCTTGAAATTATCCTTTATATATATATAGGTATATAAGTATATCTGTATTATATCTATCTATATATGTATGTATATATATATATAAAATCAATATCAAGAGTTAATCAGTATCTGCAACCTCTCTCTGAAGAGAAGACCTTTATTGTGTGCTTTCTTTCCTCATTTCCCTTGTCACTGGGAATTAAGTCATTTTATAGTTCCTTCGTTGTTAATATAACTTTTGCTGCAGTTGTGAGAGGGTGGCTAAGTCATAGGAGGAATATGTTCTACTGTCAAAAATAACTGAATGGAAGGAGAATTAATTGATTTTTTTTCCATTAAAATGATGAGCTTAAATATAATGGAAGTGGAATACTGAGATGCATGCTCTTGAACTGAAAAAAAAAAGCTTCTAAATAAACATCGTAAGTCAAATTACCAGGAAACCTCTTCATTGTAACTTAAGGTTTGACTAGGAATAGAGATTCAAGATCATATTGGTATCTTGTCTTTATATTTGTATGACTATTAAATAGGCTGGATTTGATGGTGAGAAATAGTTAATAACTTTATTTTTTTCCCTTTAAATCTTTTTTTTGTGTTTCCCTTTTTTCTACTTGGATGATATACAAGGCAGAACTCATAGGTCTTTGGAGGGTTATGTTCACATATAACAATAGTCTCATACTAAAATATTTAAAATTCAGTCCAGGCATTGATGATACTAGGGAATTGTTTTTTTTTTATTGTGATTTAGGTGAGAGTTTACACAGCAAATTAGTTTCTCATTAAACAGTTAATACACAAATTGCCAACCCTGCGATGTGTCAACACTCTCCCCTTCTCCACCCCAAGTTCCCTGTTTCCATTTGTACCATTTTCCTGTCCCTTCCTGCTGTCTTGTCTTTGCTTTTGGGCTGGTGTGCCCATTGGACTCATATACACAATTGAACTATGAAGGATGTTCCTCATGTGTGTTGTTATGGGCCCTATAGACCTGTCTAATCTTTGACTGAAGGGTGAACCTCAGGAGTGACTTCAGCACTGAGTTAAAAGGGTGTCTGGGGTGGGGGGGGTGATTATTAATTTCCTTAGATATAATAATGGTATTGTGATTTTGTAGGAGACTATCCCTACTTTTAAGAAATGCATGCTTAAGTATTTGGTGGTGAAGTATCATGATGTTTGCATTTTCTTCAGATGGTTCAACTAAAGATATGGATAGACAAAGAAAATATGGTAAAATTTGAACAATTCTTGAATCTGGAAAGTGATTATATGGATATTTATTGTATATATTCTTTTAATTTTTTTGTATGTTTGAAATTTTTCATAATGAAAAGTTGGAAGAAGAAAGTCCATTCAAATTTGAATAAAAACATCAATGTCTCATCCAGTTCAACCCTTCTACCCTATGCCTACTCTATCTCATACCTGACCTGTACTTCTGCAAACAAGAAGTATGGCAACGGGGTATAATCTGTTTCTTTATCCTCTTTGTTCTATTTTCTTTCCTAGACCTCAGCTACTTCTGGCTTCTCCAGGATTGACAGTGAGGAGTGGGTTGGTGGGCGAAAATAGAGACAGGGTAGAATCTTTCTTAACTGGTGCTGGTATAATCTAGTGTGGCTGTTGACTAAGTACTGCCTCTGTTTCTTTCATAGAATATTTGTGTATGGATATGTGTGTTTAGTTATTCTCTCCCCCACCAACTAGGGACGTTGGCAATGTACCACTCATTATATGAGCAATGCATTTTCTAGCCAATTCCCCCACCCCCACTTTGTCCTCCAGTGATACTTCCCTAAAGTCCCCCAGCTATAGGCAGTTCTTTTCTAAAGTATCCACTTGGCCATGGGTATCCTTACCCTACCAGAATGTAAAAGGGCAGGCTGCTTTCGTTGCTGCCTTCTCTTCTTGCTCTATTCCATCTCTATTTTTATATATGTATCAGTTAGATTTTTTCAGTTTAACAAACCATCCTAAAACTTAGTGGCTTAAAATAACAGCCCCTTATTATTATTGCACATGAACAGCTGGACAGTTTTGTTGATTTTGGCTGGCACCCTCATGCATCTCCTGTCAGATACAAGTCAACTAAGTGATTCTGCTTCTGGGAGTTGGGTGGAAATCAGCTCAGGGTACGGGGGGATGACTGGGCTACGTGTTTTTTGTCATCCACCAGTTTAACCTAAACTTGTCCACATGGCAGCAGCAGAGTTCAAAGAGAGAGAAAGCAGAAGTGAGCAAGGCCTCTTGAGGCCTACACTCTGAACTGACACATCGTTTCTTCCAGTGCATTCTGTGGGCCAAAGCAGGCACAGGACCAGCCAGGATTCAAGGGGTAGGAAATAGACACCACGTCTTGATGGGAGGACCTGCAATGTCACATTGCAAAAGGGCAAGGATATAAGGAGGAGAAATAATTACAACCATTTTTGCAAACAATATACTACAAAGTATAAAATGTAAGCCTCCTTGGCTCATGGAATGAGATTGGCCTATGAACTTCTGAAGCTCAGAAGGCCTCTCTCTGGTCTCTTTCAGGGGTTCTCCTGATGGCCACCTTATTTGGTGGAGACCTATGTTCCTGTTCTCATGGTTAATTTAGTAGAGAGCAATTAATTATTTTTTCCATTAAAATGGTAATCAAAAATGAGTTTAAGTATAATCAAAGTGAAATATTGAAATACACTTTCCTAAATTAAAAAACGAGAAACTACTTCTAAATGAGCAGAAGTCAGATTCTCAGGAAACCTGTTAGTTGTAGCTTTCTATGGGGAGGAAAGGAAAACAGCACAGCATTTTCTACTTTTCTTGGTGAATCCTCTCTTATGAATTTCTGACCTTTTTATATATAAGCTGGTTACTGGATTAATTTGGTCACCTTTTAGAAAGCCCTGCATAATGTGTCGAGGACTCCTCTTTAGAATATGTGGGACTTTATTATTCATTGTCCTCACTTTGAACTTCAGCTGAAGCTATGAAACAACTAAAATCCTTTTTAATATCTTATTTAGCTTAAATACAAGGAGATAAAAAATAGGGAAATGTGGAGGCTGTAGCTCAGGATGCCTGGGTAATTAATTACCCTTCCCTGTGCAGAGCCCTGGTGGTGCAGTGGTTAAGTACTTGGCCGCTAACCAAAAGGAGAAAGATGTGGCAGTCTTTTTCTGTAAAGATTTATAGCCTTGGAAACCCAGAGGACATTTCTACTCTGTCCTGTAGGGTCTCTCTGAGTCAGAATCGACTCAATGGCAACAGATGTGGATTATAATAGGTCATTCATAACTAATTTCAAGTCTAATTTCTTTTTGAATTCATTTTAGTTTTTCTGTGAAGTCTGTGATCCTCCTTATTAGAACTTACATGTTTAACAGTATGGATGAAAATATTACCAAAAGATTACATGTGTCAGTCTTATTAAAGATACTAAATACCTAAAGTTAACTCTGAAAATAATGTTTCAATGACAAAGTACTTTTTTAAAACATATATCACCTTATAGAAGTAGGGCAAGCATTTTGATTAAAAACACTATCTTTTTTGAAGGTGCTGTGTAGCATCAATTCAATTATTCATAATCCAAGAGCTCCAGTAGTAATTTATAAACAGAGCAAAGGAGGACCCCAACATTTTAATAAAGATTTTGTTCAAGATTGTGCATTTGAGCATCTTGTTCCTATAATAGCAATGTGGGCAGATCAACTGACATCCCTGAAGGTAAGGTTTTGAATATTCTTTATATGCTTTGAGACTCTATTGGAGTCTATGGGCTTTTTTAATTGGACTAGGCTTGTTTGTTTTGTTTTCATTGTAAAGCTGAAAAAGTTTATCTAAAATTTGAATCTTGCTACTTACATATGTATTTCAAACACTACCTATTTGGTGGTGTCATTGTTGTAAGCTTTACCTCCTCTAAAGTTCTACTATACAAGAGCCCTACCAGGCCCATTGCCTTCATGAAAATCTGTAGTGGGTCTGCTTTGCACTTCCAGGCCCTTCCCTGTCCTTCCTTCATGTCCTTCCTGTTGATATCCTCATGCTATAGATTTTCCTGGCCCTTATTCCTCTTCAGGTTAATACCTTACTTTTCCTTTCATTTTAATTGGGAATGTTTTCTCTTTCATATTTTATTTTCCTTCTCTCAGAACTCCACGTCTGTCTATTCTCGAGAGCAGATAGATAGCAACCAACCCTACTCACTATCCTATCATCCACAGGAAGATAAAATTTCCTCACTTTGTATAAATCATGGCATTTTACCAATCATTGCTTGTCAAGGGGTTCTCCCAACAGGAGGAAACAATGCTAATTCCACTTTTGTCCTTCTCAGGGGATATAGGCAGCTCTCCCAGGAGAAGGAGAAAAAACCAGAAGAGAAAAGACAGGAAGGGAAGAATCAAATAAATGGATAGTTATTGTTTACTCTGTTGAAAGCATTGCGGGAGGTATCAGAAAAGGCAAACACAAGATTCGGAATAGTTGGAGAGACAAAACGTACTCAAAAACATGAAATATCTTGAACAGTTCGTTAAATTTTATCGGTAGAAAAAAACGAATGTCATAGAAAGTAATTATACATGATTAAGTACCAAGTGAATGATGCAGATAACTTGTATCCTAGAGTCTGGTCCTAGCCCTCAAGGAAAGCTTTAGAGTGGTGGTGAGTTACTTGCTACTGCGTAGGTTTTCTGAATTGAAGGAGGCAAGGAGTTAGCTTTATTGTTAGAATATTCTGAGTGCTTCCAGGGACAAATTGGTAGCTCTGCCACTGAACTGACTCATGAATTTTAGCCAGTTCTTCAGATATTTACTTTATACTGCAAAATCAGGACCCAAACTGAGAAACTACATGAGGTTCTTTGAGGCTTCATATGAAAGATTATTTATAATATAGCAGCCTCTAAGTTTGGGACAATCATCTTCTTAGGTTAGCCATTCCCCTTCCCTTCCCTCCCACTCCCTCCCATTAGATTTGGCTTAAAAGAAAAGGATGGGAAAGGTATGGAGCTAGCTGGCTGTCTCCTTCCCTCTGTCTTCTCCTCCTACCTTTCCAGGAAAGGTGAGCTACAAACACAAACACCATAGCTTTCCCAACCCATGTACTGTTTTCTTATTCCCAGTACTCCAGAGGCTAGCCACACAAGGTCAAGCAGGACCTGGCAGTACTTCTGCATCCTCACAACTGGACAATGCGGGGAACCTAGGAGGCCCTCTTTTAGACTTTTCAGGATTTACTTGCTGAACTGTGCTACAGCCATCTCTCACCGCTAAGGAGGCAGGAGCATCTTTTTTTCTTAGCCTTGTTAACACTCTTCTATTCTCAAACAAAAATTAATAAGATTGGATGTGCTTTTTACCATAGACCACTTCTTTATAAATGTACCTTGTTGATAGAGCTTTGGTTAATAAAGATATCATTTTGCTGCTACTTCTTGACTTTTTTTAAAATTCTAATAGCACTTATTATGTAAAGCATTCATTTGGCAATCAGTTTATTGCCTTGAATAGCTAAAATAAATAAAAGGTTAATGATACCAGTATGTGAGGTCTGGGTCTTAATTGGGGAGTGTTGAATAAATGGAGGACTAATATAAGAAGTTAGAAAAAGGATGTATTTCCTGTACCTCTTTCTGTATTCTAGAGCTGTGCTGTCCAATATGGCAGCCACTAGCCACATGTGATGACTGATCATTTGAAATGTGGCTAATCACAGTTGAGATGTGCTGTAGGTGTAAAATATACATTAGATTTTGAAGACTTAGTATGGAAAAAAAAAAAAGAATGTAAAATACTGATTACATATTGAAATAATATTTGGATATATTGGGGTAAATAAAATATATTAATAAAGCTAATATCACCTGTTTCTTTTTACCTTTTTTAATGTGACTGTTTGTTGTTGTAGTTGTTAGGTGCTGTCAAATTTGTTCCGACTCATGGCAACCCTATGTACAACAGAAGGAAACACTGCCCAGTCCTGCACCATTCTCACAATCATTGCTATGTTTGAGCCCATTGTTGCAACCACTGTGTCAGTCCATCTTATTGAGGGTCTTCCTCTTTTTCACTGACCCTCTACTTCTGCTGCTATTCATAAGGTTTTCACTGGCCAATTTTTTTATAAGTAGATTGCCAGGTCCTTCTACCTAGTCTGTCTTAGTCTGAAAGCTCTGTTTGAAACCTGTCCACCATGGGTAACCCTGCTGGTATTTAAAATACCGGTGGCATAGCTTCCAGCATCACAGCAACACGCAAGCCACCACAGTACGACAAACTGACAGAGTAGTGTGTTAGACAGTTTACAATTACTCTGGCTTGCATTACGTTTCTATTGGACAGCACTGTTGTAGAGGACAAACATCATGCCACACAGATAGTACGTGCTCAGTAAATGTCTTTTTGTGATTGGCCAGTCTTAGAGTTCTAAACTCCAGTAGCCCTGTCCCTTGTACACAGTTTAAAATAGATCAGGGCAACACTTCTAGGTCAAGAAAACTAAGTGGGCTGTTATGAAGATTTAGTCAAATTAATTTAGGCATCTTTTACATTAAAAACCTGCTGGAGATACATATTACAACTTGGATGAATCTTGAAAACATTATGCTGAGTGAAAGAAGCCAATCACAAAAGGCCACTTATTATATAATTCCATTTATGTGAAATGCCCAGAATAGACGAATCCATAGAGACAGAAAGTAGATTAGTGGTTGCCAGGGGCTGGAGGGAGTGGGGAAGATGAGGGAGTGACTGCTAATGGGTATGGAGTTTCTTTTTGAGGTGATGAAAATGTTCTTGAATTAGATAGGATAGTGGTGATGGTTACGTATCTCTTTAAATATACTAAAAAACCGCTGAAGTATACACTTCAGAAGGGTGAATTTTATGGTATGTGGATATCTCAATAAAGCTTCATTAAAAAAAATTCAAGATCAGAATATAAAGGTGAAGCTCATCTAGCTTATTCTTTGTCCATCAATATTTCAAAATAATTACTTAAAAAATCCAGATTCAGGATAATCAATATATAATACTTTTTTATAAGTCCTGTACTTACCTGGGGAAACCTGATTTTAACAAACCTTTTCTAAGCTGGTAATGGTGTTTCATTTAAAAATACCAATGACTGTTAGATATATTATTTTTCAAAAACCTTCCTGGAGAATTATAGCTTATTAGCATTAAAATCAATAACATCATGTCATTTCTTTTGTTGTAAAGGATTTGTATAAGTCCTTGAAAATACTATCTGCAGAACTGGTACCTTGGCATAATTTAAAAAAGCAAGATGAAAATGAAAGTATCAAAGTTGAAGATCTTTTGTTTATAGTAGATACCATGTTAGAAGAAGTTGAAAATAAAAACAAGGTAATACTTAATATTATATATTACTCAATATTATATATTACTCTTTATATAAATGCTTTAATGTAATCTTATTTAAAAGGCTAATAATTTGATACAGATGCTGATATTTGTTCTGCTGGGGCTCTATTTCTCTTTTTAACATTTTTTATCAAAGATTTTAGATTCTTTTAAAAGATCTGCTATTTTTTTCTCCTCTCTTTTGGACAGGACAATAATGTGCCAAACTTTCAAACTTTACAAGCTGTTGTTTCTCACTTCCAAAAATTGTTCGATGTGCCTTCTTTGAATGGAGTCTATCCTCGAATGAATGAAGTTTATACCAGGCTTGGAGAAATGACCAATGCTGTGAGAAACCTCCAAGAACTCTTAGAATTAGGTGATGACCCCTTGTAATTTTTGTCCCCGTTTAAGAATTAATCCTAATAAATCAACAAAAAGTTGTTAGAAATGTAAAAATAACAAAAATTGATGATAACTAAAGCATGAAATGTTTGATATAATTTTAATATAATTTTGAAAATTCTTTTATAAAATATCCTATTCTTTTATTTATCTTTTGCAGATAGTTCTACTTCATTGTATGTGCTGGTAAGCACAGTTGGAAAATTGTGTAGGTTGATTATTGACGGTGTGAATGAACAGGTTAAGCAGTTATTGGGACCTGAAGAACTCCAAAGGTATTTATTTTAAAAGTTCACAAAATCTTAGCCAGAATGATTGAAGGGGTGAAACTGAAGACTTGCCAAAACATCCAAATAGTTATTTACCTCCCTATTTGGAATGTTGTTTTTAGATGCTGTTGAGTTGGTTCCAACTCATATTGACCCCATGTACAACAATGACATGCTGCTTGGTCCTGCACCATCCTCAGTCGTTGCTGTGTTTGAGGCCACTGTTATAGCCACTGTCTCAGTCCATCTCGTTGAGGGTCTTCCTGCTTTTTGCTGACCCTCTGCTTTACAAAGCATCATGTCCTTCTCCAGGGACTGGTCCCTCCTGATAGCATGTCCAAAGTAAGTGAGATGAAGTCTAACCATCCTCACTTCTAAGGAGCATTCTGGCTGTACTTCTTCCAAGACGGATTTGTTCATTCTTTTGGCAGTCTATGGTATATTCAATATTCTTCGCCAATACCATAATTCAACGGCATCAAGTATTCTTCAGACTTTCTTATTCATTGTCCAGCTTTCACATGCATATGAGGCAATTGAAAATACCATGGCTTGGGTCAGGCTCACCTTAGACCTCAAAGTGACATCTTTCTTTTTTAACACTTTAAAGAGATCTTTTGCAGCAGATTTGCCTAATGCAATATGTCATTTGATTTCTTGACTGCTGCTTCCGTGGGTATTAATTGTGGATCCAAGTAAAATGAAATCCTTGACAACTTCAGTATTTTCTCTGTTTATTGTGTTTACCACTCGTCTGTCAGTTTGTCGTACTGTGGTGGCTTGTGTTTTACTGTGATGCTGGAAGCTATGCCACCAGTATTTCAAATACCGGCAGGGTTACCCATGGTTTCAGCAGAGCTTCCAGGCTAAGACAGACTAGGTAGAAGGACGTGGCAGTCTACTTCTAAAAAAATTGGCAATTGAAAACCTTATTTGGAGTAACACCTTTTAAATAAATTGGCAACCTGAAATAATCTCACATAATTAGAAACTGAGAGAATGCCAAGTATTTTCAAGATAGAAATAGATTGTAAGACCTATAGCTTTACACATAGTGGGTAAGAGTAAGGAACTCTTCAACATTGTTGCGATAAGCCTATTTCCAAAGAAAATTACATACACCTACTCCTCACTTATGGACTATTTCATTACTAGACATTTCACATCTACGATAATAGTAAAAAATGTACCATCTGACTATTTTGTACATTAATGAGGCAGCGGGCATGGCAGCAAGGGCTATGGAGTGTCCCTTCCCCCAAGGAGGGTCTCGAGGCAGCCTCCAGGAAGCTGGGCTGTGCTGCCCTGCGCCCTCCACTCCCTCCTGTCAGCAGGAGTAGCCTGCGTGCTGGCCAGCGTCCTCCGTGGCCATGGCCCCCAGGCAGACGTCCAGGCAGCACTGAGCCAGTAGGCACCTGTTCTCGGTTCCTAGCTCCAGTGCGGCCTGAGGCCCTGCAGCTCAGAACTGCTGTGGATGGGAAGGGAGGAAAGAAAGAAGCGTCAAAGAGGGTATTTGGAAGAAATTCATGCGAGTTTAATGACATCCCAGAGTGAGCCAATCCAGGTGTGCAGCCAGGCTCCCAGTGCCCTCACAGGAAGCACCTAGTCTGCAGAACAGGCTCCGGGATCATTAATGAGGGACTTGCCGGAGGGGTGGGAGTGGAGCCCTGCAGGCAGCTCCACGAGAGCAGCTCTGACCCAGCACAGGGGGAAGGTGAAGTGATTAAGCCGAGGGCCTTCCAGTCACACAGCCTGGCTTTATCCAGCTCTATCTCCTCTGAGCCTTCTTTGCCAGAGAGGAATAATCCATAACTCGACTCATCACAGTGATGAACACATCAGTAAATTTTAGCTGTTATTATTTCTATGATCATATTTTCTAAATAAAAGAAATCAGACAAATGGAGAGTCTGAAAACAAGGAAAAAACCCTCCATTTTTGCATAATGCATATTTTTGTATAATGACCTGGTCTTTGGAACTTAACCGTGTTGATAAGTGAGGAGTGGGTGTATAGAGAAATTCAAACCTTGTTAGCAACTTCATGTAGCTGGATAATAAGGAAGACTGAAGAAGAATTGATGCCTTTGAATTGTGGTGTTGGTGGAGAATATTGAGTATACCACGGACTGCCAGAAGAATGAACAAATCTGTCTTGGAAGAAGTACAGCCAGAATGCTCCTTAGAAGCGAAAATGGCAAGATTTTGGACATGTTATCAGGAGGGACCAGTCCCTGGAGAAGGACATGAAGTCGAGGGTCAGTGAAAAAGAGGAAGACCCTCAACGAGATGGACTGACACAGTGGCTACAGCAGTGGGCTCAGACATAGCAATGACTGTCAGGATGACGCAGGACCAAGTAGTGTTTCATTCTGTTGTACATGGGGTTGCTGTGAGTCAGAACCAGCTCGACGGCACCTAACAACACCAACAACCGTAGATTACTGAGTAGTCACTATCAGTATATTCTTTGATTTAGAAGATAAATGTTAAGGATTTTTTAAAACACCAGATATCTGTTACATAAAACTTGATTTTTTTTAAAAAATTGAAAGATTGTAGCTATACTTAAAGAAGCTTTTCCACCTAAAATTTTATACTGCAGCTTATGGAAGGGGAACATAGACATATGTCACGTATTTCATATGGTCTGCAAGTTTTCCAAGAAAACCCCTTACATGATCTGATATTTGAGTTTTCTGATACTTGGAACATAAATCTCACTTTTGGTCTTTTTACCCTTCCAGAGTTTACTGACTACTGATATTTTTTCTTAATGTTTAATAAGATATTGGGTATAAAAGCCAATAATATTTAGAAAATGCTATAAAAGCATGGTCTTAGAAGCCCTGAAGCCCTGTTGGCACAGTAGTTAAGAGCTCGGCTGCAAGGTCGGCTGTTACTTGGAAACCCTATGGGGCAGTTCTGCTCCATCCTATAGGGTTACTATGAGTTGGAATCGACTCGATGGCAGCGGGTTTGGTTTGGTTTTTGGTTTAGAAGCTTAGAGCTAAGTGGAACGTTTCCCGTGTTAAAAATGTTATATAAATTTAACTTTGGAACAGATGTTTACACTGATAATATGAGATGCCTTTTTAGAAAAGTGATATTAGATCAATAAAAAACTGAAAAAGGAATGATTGTAATAAATGATCATTAAGTTTAAATCTAAATTAGCGGGACAGTTTCTTTCCATTTTGAAAATGTCTTGTTTGCAATCAGATACAACAACCCTAAGTTAGAAATTCAGTGTAACTGCACTTTTTTTTTTTTTTTTTTAACAGCATTATCAACAAATTGGAAGAACATGAGGAATTTTTCCCAGCATTTCAGGCATTTACTAATGATCTACTTGAAATCTTAGGTAAGATCTTTTTGGTGATGGTTAAGTTTAGAGTCTTAAGATTTCAGTGGACTTGAGAGAAGAGTGTTTCTTAGCTACTGGATATATCTTTTTGCTTAGAGCATTTAATTCATTGGAAACCACTAACAGTTCTGGAATCACACTTCCTAACTTGCTGTTTGGAGCCCTGGTGGTGCAGCAGTTGAGTCTGGCTGCTAACCAAAATGTTGGGAGTTCGAATCCACCATCTGCTCCTTGGAAACCCTATGGGGCAGTTCTACTCTGTCTTACAGGGTCACTATGAGTTGGAATCGACTCGACGGCAGCAGGTTTTTTGGAACTTGCTGTTTGAGTTGGTTGGGATTAGCCACAGAGCAGAGAAGCACGGGCACTATAAGGAGATAGAGGCTGCCTTTGTTTTAGGACCTTATGAGAAATGGCCATACTTTGGCTAGGCCCAGTTTAACCCTGACTCTGTCATGGCCTACTGAGAAATTTTGGGAGAATTTATGATCTTGGAAGATTTTTGTTTTTCTTATGGTTAATTTTAAGATATCACTTACCTATTGTGTTTTTAAAATATACAAATAAAATTTCCTTCTCAGCTAATATGAAGTAATTTAAGGTAGGTAGTAAACACCTGTAGAAAGAAAGAGTCAGACTGAGGGCTTGAGTAGGAGTAGTAGTATCTCTTAAAGGGAAAAACATACAATTTGCTTAGGAGTCATAGGCAAAATAGAGACCATAAGTCTCTTATTTTAAATGTGATTATATATGGCTATAAAATTAATTTATCTTAATATTAAGAACGTTTTTTATTTAAAGTTTAAAATGATTTATTCATCAATGAATTTCTATTATAGCTCATTTGAAAGTTTTGTTGTTTTTCTTTTAAGAATGGCTCCTTGACATAGGAAATTAAGTTATTAAATTAAAAGAGGAAATGAGGCTTGGTAGGAAGATAAAGGGATGAGTAAATTAAAATTTGGTAAGAAGATGAAATAAACGACAGAACTATCTGATTGGAGTGTATGGCCTAGTGAACATAAAGGAAGTTTTGTGGCCAGTTTTATGTAGACTATGGAAGCAAAAGAGAAATAGGTGAGCATGTTTTAGGCATGCGCATATGTTTAAAAAGGTCATACCAAGTGAAAATGTAATTTGAAAGATGAGCTTAAGCTGAGACATGAAATTGTGTAAGTGTGTTGCCCTAGCATCTTGAAGAGCCACATTTCATAGAATAATATGATTTTACTTGCTTTAGGATGGCCGTTGGTTTAAACAGTGAAGTTCTCATCATTAATGCATATTTGGTACATTACTAAACATTTACAGCAAAGGAATGCTGGTGACATCTTTTCAGAATCCTTCTATAGAAACTTCCTCTCAGACATTATGACACTTAGCATGGCTCAGATAGGTTGTTTGCTTCAAAAAGCCAAGTCTCCCATGTTTTGTTCACAGTTTAAATTCTGAAGTTAAATGTTATATTTAACATTGGAAAAGTTAAATCGATTTTGGCAAATATGCGTTTTTTTTTTAAATTATCAGATGTCATATTAAGTATCTAGAACTACAGAGCATTCTACTGAATGCTAAATATGTGATAATTGTGATTTTTTTTTTAATCTTTTCTTTTTCTCATGTAAATTCCCAGGTCAGCCAGGGTCATTTTCTGTAAGGTTCATTAATGGGACAGATTTCTTGTTTAGTGAGAAAATAGGTGTGATTTCAGAATGAGGGGTCAGGGAATAACTTGGTCTTATACCTTACCACAACATAAGGTGTGAACTAAGTTCTCTGTTGTAGGTTTGCTTATTTTGTTTCCTATATCTTGATGCTTTATAAGTAGATCCAGACAAGTATTCTGACTGAAGTTAGGAGCTTAAAGAACTAAATGAATTGTGTTTAGGCCAAAAGAAAAACCACCAAAATCCAGCTAGACAATGGAGGGAGAGAGATGAAATCCAAGGAGGCATGTTTTATGTAAAGGAAATGAGTTTATGAACAGTGGCCTAATGAATAAGCTAGAAAAAAGTAATGAGTATCTAGAGAATCTGCCACTGGGCCTCACCTTAGAGTAGGCTAGGGATCTAGACAACGAGAGAAAGAGTCCTGCTTCCTCAGTAGCTAGAATCTTTAGGCTTGTTGGAAGAAGATAATCTTAGGAAGAGATATCACACTCAGAAAGAACCTGACAAGGAAGAACCGGAACTGGTTTATCTGCTAAGCTAGACCAGGCTAAACCCTATAATTACATACATTGCAATTACATACTCTATACATTGCACCTGAGATTTGTACTCTGAGAAGCCTCACACCTATTGTTACGTAGTTAAGTTTCATCCTAAAAGGTAGACCTAAGAGTGACCCTATTAAGGAGAAATTCTTCCAAGAGAGTTAAAGAGGATAGGATAGGATAGGATATTCCTAAATCCTCAGATGAGGACTGGGAAGGAGGCAGTTTCTACCCGGAATTTCACCATGTAGGCTCACCCATGTAACTATACAGATTTAGAGAGGTACTAACATAAAATCATAAATGTGACCAGTTGGGTCCATTAATAAAAGCATGCTGCTAATGAGGTTAATATCAAAGTCAGAGGATGCTTGTAGGTATGTTTCCAAATCCGTAAAATTTTATCACCACTGCTCGAGAAAATTTCCATGTGCACACAAGCACCAATATTGTTGCCTTTGTGTTTGAAATAATGCATGGAAGTTCTCATTTCATCTGAGCATATCACTAGAGTGGTATTTCTAGCTATTTTTCTAAGTACTGTCCTTTATTATTGTTTTTCTGTTACAGAAATTGATGACGTGGATGCCATTGTACCTGCGGTAAAGAAATTAAAAGTACTTTCATACTGAAAACAAATCAAATCATTTTTACTGTGTAAATTGCATTTTTAGACAGTCTAAATATTTTGTATGGTTAATCTTATTTGGAGACAAGAGTTATAAAATGTATTTACTCTCAGAATTCACCCTTTCTTAGCACTGTGTCCCTCTCCATACAATTCTTTTTTTTTAACTTTTGAGATTCTTATATAGAAAACAGTTGCTAAATTAATTGGACTTTAGATCCCCCTAATTGCTTCTTAAGCAATTCTTAGGAGTAGCTAAAATTTAAGGTTTTTTAAAAGTAGAGTGTGTGAGTAAAATAGAAACTTAGGGAAAGATATTGCAAGTAATAGAAAGACTGCATTGGAGTTTGGGATTCAGTGACCTTTGGTTCAGGGAAACAGGAATGCCAATGGCTCTCTTAAGTCCTGTCAGTAAGAAGCTACTGCTTTCCTGGCAAGGACTAAATGGCACATTTTATTAAGATAGCTCTCATGGCAGTTGTCCTTTCAAAGCAGGAGAAAGAAAAGGAAAAAAAAGGTTTTATCATTATGTTAGGGTAGGAAATGAATCATGAGGTAAAATAGAGAGTAGGTCAAAGTCCCTCATTTAAAAAGTACCTTTTTGCAGTCTTGATTGTAATGTATTTTTTATAAGGACATGAGATCTTAAATAAAATTTTTGTCAAGACTTTTCAAACATAAGTGTCCTCAATGACTTACTTGTATTACTCACAAATAATCAGTCAGATTCCTTTCCTAGGCTGAGCCTTCTTTGGACAACTGGTTCACCCTTGCTGCATTTTACATTAGAGTACTTTTCTTACTGCCTTATACTTATTCTCTGTTATCAACAGTCAGTCTGATTTTCTTAAGGGACCAGTGCTCTACCTCACATCTGTGAGTACAAACCACTTTGGGCTGCCTCCTCCTACCTTTGATAAGTAGCAGGCCTAGGAAGACTTCTCAGTTATTCTTGTTGCTTGTAATGTAGAATATTGTAAAGCATTTCCAGGAAACAGCATGGTAGGATGGAGAGAGTGAACAAGCGTCTGCATCCTTGGTGTTGTGACTTTGGCTTAGGAATTAGATCAGATAATACCTTAGGTTCCTTCTAGATTTGAAATTCTTTGCTTTATTAGCCTGCAATTACATTTATAATCACTAGTCTGCAATTTGTGGAAGAATCTGTATCTTTGAGGTGTAGAAAAACTATTTAGATATTCAAAAGTGTAAATACTCTGGATTGATTAGATTACTCTAAGGAATTGCTGTGAAACAATTTTGAAATCTAATAATATTTTGAAAGGAAGAAATGTAATTAAAATTTTTAGACCTAATGTTTGGCAGGTAGCTTACGAGCTTGCAGTTAACTCATAGTTTAAAACAGAAGTCTTCAAACTGTTCCTTGGAGGCCTAGGGTTTTTCTAGGATATGCCTCAGGGACCACTGACAAGGACAGTGCCAGTAGTAGGAAGGGCTTTAGGCCCATCCCCTATCAGATCCACTTTTATCCAATTTTAATTATTTAAAATATAAGTATACACTGAAATTATTGTTTTGCTCTTGATTTCTTTTACAGTTTTATTGAGGTAAATGGGCCCTGATGATGCAGTGGTTAGGAGCTATGGCTGCTAACCAAAAGGTCAGCAGTTTGAATCCACCACCGGCTCCTTGGAAACCATATGGAGCAGTTCTACTCTGTCCTGTAGGGTTACTATGAGTTGAAATTGCCTCGATGGCAGTGGGTTTCCTTTTTGTTTTGTTTTATTTGACATATAATAAACCACACATATTTGAAGAGTACAGTTTGATAAGTTCTGATACATGTATATACCCATGAAAGCATCACCACAATCAAAATAGTAAACATACTCATTATTCCGAAAGTTTTCTCTTTGCCCTTGGTAATCCCTCTCCACCCCTACCCATTTCTAAGCAACAACTGATCTGCTTTCTGTCACTATACATTAATTTGCATTTTATAGAATTTTCTATAAATGGAACCATGCAGTATGTCCTCTTTTTTGTCTGGTGTATTTCACTCAGCATAATTACTTTGAGAGTTTTGCATTTTTTTACACATATTAACAGTTCATTCTTTTTTTATTGCTGTGTAGTATTCCATTGTGTGAATATACCATGATTTATTTATCCATTCACTTGTTGATGGATATTTGAAATTATCTCCAGGTTTTGACTATTACAAATAAACTGCTACGAATACTTACGTTCAAGTCTTTGTATGGACATATGCCTGATAAACAGTGTCTTAAAAACTGTTGTTTCATGTATTTCATTTTGTTTTAGTTTTGGCTTTGGTTGTTTCAGGCAGACTGGTAAACCTGGTTTCTGTTACTCCATGCTGGCCAGAAGTGGAAGTTTAGAAGTGCAGTTTTTAAGTCTGCAAATAATAGAATTTCGTAGATTGCTTTTTTATCATGTATTTCTTTTTCTATTCTATTTTTTTTTAGTGGCTTAATGCAATAGACAGTTATTATCTCACAGTTTCCATAGGTCAGGAATGTGGGCATGGCTTAGCTGGATTCTCTGCTCAGGGCTGCAGTCAGAGCTAGGAGTCTTATCTGAGGCTGGGAGTTCTCTTCCAAGCTCATGTGGTTGTTGGCAGAATTCATTTTGTTGCAGCACTCATGACATCTTGCTTCTTGAAGGCCAGGAGTAGAGAAAGTCTCTGACTTCTCAACCCTGTATTAAAGGGCTCACCTGATTAGGTCAGGCCAACCACGATACTTTCCCTTTTGATTGTCTTGAAGCCAACTGTTGAGGGACCTTACTTATAGCTGCAAAATCCCATCATTGTTGGCATATAACAACATAATCATGGGAATGATATCCCATTATCTTTGCCATATTCTATTGCTTAGAAGTGTGTTAGAGGTTCTGCCCACGCTCAAGGGAGGGTACAAGGGCAGAGGTCACTGGGGTTAATTTAGAATTCTGCCCACCACACCCAGAAATTTACATAACATAAAATTAATCATTTTAAAGTATATCATTTAGTGGCATTTAGTACATTCACTCAGATATCCTTGTGGCTTCCTCTTACCTCCTTCTAGTCTTTGTTCAACCCTGGCAATCCCTATCCCCCTTCCTGCTATATTTTTTTCCAAAGCCATTATCACTTTCTCATATACTACATAATTTACTTATTCATCTTGTTTATTGCTTATCTCCCCCCACTAGAACGCAAGTAAAGGAAGGGATTTTTGTTTTGTTCACTGCCCTATCTTCTGGGCCAATATTAGTGCCTGGCACAGATTAGGTGCTCAGTACGTAGTTGTTTTTGTCTTTGTTGTTGTTTTTGATTATTATACTTTAGATGAAGGTTTACAGAAGAAACTAGCTTCTCATTAAACAATTAGTACACATATTGTTTTGTGACATTGGTTAACAACCCCACTACATGTCAGTACTCTCCATTCTTGACCCTGGATTCCCTATCACCAGCTTTCCTGTCCCCTCCTGCCTTCCAGTCCTTGCCCCTGGGCTGATGTGCCCCTTTAGTCTCATTTTGTTTTATGGGTCTGTCTAATCTTTGGCTGAAGAATGAACCTCAGGAGTGACTTCATTACTGGCTTATAGGGTGTCCAGGGGCCATACTCTCAGGGTTTCTCCAGTCTCTGTCAGACCAGTAAGTCTGGTTTTTATTTTTGTGAGTTTGAATTTTTGTTCTACATTTTTCTCCAGCTCTGTCTGGGACCCTCTATTGTGATCCCTGTCAGAGCAGTCGGTGGTGGTAACCAGGCACCATCTAGTTTTACTGGACTCAGTCTGGTAGAGGCTGTGGTAGTTGTGGTCTGTTAGTCCTTTGGACTAATCTTTCCCTTGTGTCTTTGATTTTCTTCATTTTCCCTTGCTCCCGACAGGGTGAGACCAGTGGAGTATCTTACATGGCCACTCACAAGTTTTTAAGACCCTAGACACTACTCACCAAAGCAGAATGTAGAACATATCATTTATTTCTAATTTTATTGCATTGTAGTCAGAGAATATGGTCTTTTTGATATTGAGTCTTTAGAATTTGTTGAGACTTACTTTGTGACTTCCTATATGATGAATTTTTATACATGTTCCATGTATACTTTTAAAAAAGCCTAATCTCTATTTGTTATATATGTATTGTACTATTGTGTTGTTTAAATCTTTATTTCTATCCTTTTTTTGTCCGTTTCTGAGAGATACTGAAATCTCTAACCATGATTATGGATTTTAATTCTGTCAAATTTTGTTTTATATGTTTTGAGCCTTTTTTAGAAGTATATCTAAGTTCATAGTTGATATATCTTCCTGATGCATATACCTCTTTATTGCTACTAATGTTTATCTCTTTGAATGTAATTTTGTCCTTTCTTTTAATTGTTGATGAGTATTTCTTTACCTTTTTCATTTATTTCACTAAGTTTTTTATTGTAAAACAGCACATATGCTAAAAATGGTATAAATAATAAATGTCAAATATAACAAATGATTGTAAAGTAAAACCCCATATAATAGCCAAGAAATAGAACATCATCAGCACTCTTAAAAGGCCACCGTACCCAACCATATGTCCCTTACCCCAGAGGTAACCATTATCTTACTTTTATGTTAGTCACTTCCTTGTTTTTTTGTTGTTAATAATTTTGCCACCTTTTTATGTATGCCTAAACCAGTATAGTTTCATTTTGCCTGTTCTTTAACTTTATAAAAATAGAATTTTTCTTTATTACTATTTCTTCCCCACTGCTGATTTGGAAGCTTTATATTTCAGCTCTATTGGTTTTCTTTGTTATTTTATTTTACTGGTTATCTTAAAAATTCCAATATATACTTTGTCAGTCAGGGTCCAGTCAGGAGACAGAAACCACATCGCACTGGTAGCCAAACGGGAAAAATTTAATACAAGAATTGATAACTAGTAAAAGCTGGTTAACTACTAAAAGGGGTGAATGAAGACTCTGAGTATAGAAGTAGCAATTTCAGAAAGCAAATACTACCCCCAGGCTAAGGAAGAGTAAACAAGGAACTTAGAAACTTAGAAGAGAGCCTCCCCACCCCCACCCTGACGCCTCCTGTCTGAACTTTAGACCTCTGAGGAGATGTTTGATTGCCACAGGAACATGCAGCCCACCAATGGCAAAGAAACATGGCTGCTTTTGAACTATGGTAGTCACAGTTATGGTGGCAGCACCTAAGGCATGAACTAGGTAAACTGTGAGGGCTTCTGAAATGAGGAAGAAGGGCTTAGACAGGCTGATATGCTCGCTGGATGGAAAACAGCACTTCAGAAGAAGGACAAAAAGCCATTTCTTCCCAGTCTAGCCTTGCAGCATCCCCCTCCAGCGCCCTCTATTGGCAAAGCCTAACATCAAGCCAACTGGCAAAGAAGACAAGTCTGCAGTGGCTCCAGCATCACAAAGCAGGGCAAAGAAGGGGAGATTTGGAGCCGAGAGGTAATGAATTAGTAACTGACTCACACACTTAGTTTTACATTTTTCTAATAAATTATAAATATCTTTAGCTTCCTAAACAAGATAAAACTTGAATACTTTTTTTTCCAGCCAGTCTCACCTCCCATCTTTGATGTCTGTATTTAGATGTCATTTTATTTTCACTGTGTTTTTGAGTCCTTGCAAAATTTTTTGGTCGCTTGCTTACTTGTTTATATTTTTTAAACAATTAAGACTTATTTAGGTTTACCAACATATTTTATGAATTTCTTTGCTTCCCATTGCTTCCCACATGCTAGTTCTGCCTTCATGGTATGTTTTCCTTCTTGCTGAAGTCATCTTGTGGCCATTTTTCAGTCTGATATTCCTGGGTGCGTTATATATTTTTTCGCCTGTTTTTCTTTCATAAGTTTTGCCTGTGAGCTTCCCTTTAATGGAAATTATCAGCTGCAGTGGTCCCACATGTGGCTTGGATGGGAGAGGGGAACCTAAGGGCCAGTTTTGTGGTTACTTCTGTCAGAGTTTCAAAGAGTTCCAGGTTCTAAAGCAATTTTCATAATAATTTCTAGGTTTGGGGGTTCCCACCACAAGTCGATGTTTTGTAATTTCAGACCTCATGCTCCTATGGGGCAGACTAGAGCCTTTGGTTTCTCAGAGCTGATTGTTTCCACCCATTTCTGGCAACCAATTTCTTGCCCTCATTGGTAGCCAGGGTGTTTTCTGATGGAACAAAACTTTTCATCTCCTTGCTCCACACACATGGCCTTACTTCCTATCTGGTATATGCTAACATTCTAATCCTTGTCAACACCTAAACTCCCCTCAAGCTCCTATTCACTGATTTGGTTTTCCTCTTTGGACCTGGAACTTTACCTGCATTACTTTCTAACTGACCATGTTTAAAATAAATTGTATTCATTTTTTTTTTTTAATTGTGCTTTAGGTGAAAGTTTACAGTTCAAGTTAGTTTCTCATACAAAAATTTATACACACATTGTTATGTGACCCTAGTTGCTATCCCTATAATGTGACTGTACACTCGTCCTTTCCACCCTGGATTTCCCATATCTGTTCAGCTGGCTCTTATCCCTTTCTGCCTTCTCATCTCACTTCCAGACAAGCGCTGCCCAGTTAGTCTCATATATGTACTTGAACTAAGAAGCACACTCTTCACGAGTATCATTTTATGACTTACAGTCCAGTCTAATCTTTGTCAGAAGAGTTGGCTTCAATAATGGTTTTAGTTCTGGATTAACAGAGTCTGGGGGCCATGTCTTCTGGGGTTCCTCCAGTCTCAGACCATTAAGTCTGGTCTTTTTACTAGAATTTGAGTTCTGTACCCCACTTTTCTCCTCCATCAGGGACTTTCTGTTGTGTTCCCTGTTGGGGCAGTCATTGTGGTAGCTGGGCACCATCTAGTTCTTCTGGTCTCAGGCTGATAAGAGTCTATGGTTTATGTGGCCCCTTTTGTCTCTTGGGCTAATATTTTCCTTGTGTCTTTGGTGTTCTTCATTCTCTTTTACTTCAGGCAGATTGGGACCAATTGATGCATGTTAGGTGGCTGCTCGCTAGCTTTTAAGACACCAGATGCTACTCACCAAAGTGGGATGCAGAACATCTTCTTAATAAACTTTGTTATGCCAATTTACCTAGATGTCCCTTGAAACCATGGTCCCCAGACTCCCGCCCCTGCTACACTGTCCCTTGAAGTGTTTGGTTGTGTTCAGGAAACTTCTTAGCTTTTGGTTTAATTCAGTTGTGCTGACTTCCCCTGTATTGTGTGTTGTCCTTCCCTTCGCCTAAGATAATTCTTGTCTACTGTCTAGTTAGTGAATTCCCCTCTCCCTCCCTCCCCACCCTTGTAACCATCAAAGGATGTTTTCTTTTGTGTTTAAACCTTTTCTTGAATTCTTATAACAGTGGTCTCATACAATATTTGTCCTTTTGCAACTGAGTAATTTCACTCAGCATAATGCCTTCCAGAGTCATCCATGTTATGAGATGGTTCGCGACTTCATCATTGTTCTTTATCGTTGCATAGTATTCCATCGTGTGAATATACCATAATTTGTTTATCCATTCATCTGCTGATGGGCACCTAGGTTGTTTCCATCTTTTTGCCATTGTGAACAGTGCTGCAGTGAACATGGGTGTGCATATATCTATTCGGGTGATGGCTCTTATTTCTCTAGGTTATATTCCAAGGAGTGGGATTGCTGGATCATATGGTACTTCTATTTCTAACTTTTTAAGGAAGTGACAAATCAATTTCCAAAGTGGTGGTACCATTTTACATTCCCACCAGTAGTGTATAAGTGTTTCAGGCTCTCCACAACCTCTCCAACATTTATTATTTTGTGTTTTTTTGATTAATGCTAGCCTTGTTGGGGTGAGATGGTATCTCATTGTAGTTTTGATCTGCATTTCTCTAATGGCTAATGATCGTGAGCATTTTCTCATGTGTCTGTTAGCCGCCTAAATGTCTTCTTTGGCAAAGTACTTGTTCATAGCCTTTGCCCATTTTTAAATTGGGTTGTTTGTCCTTTTGTTGTTGAGGTTTTGCAGTATCTTGTAGCTTTTAGAGATTAGACGCTAATCGGATTTGTCATAGCCAAAAATTTTTTCCCAGTCTGTAGGTTGCCTTTTTACTCTTTTGGTGAAGTCTTTTATTGAGTGTAAGTGTTTGATTTTTAGGAGCTCCCAGTTATCCAGTTTCTCTTCTGGTGTTTGGGCATTGTTATGTTTTGTATTCTGTTTATGCCATGTATTAGAGCTGCTAGCTTTGTTCCTATTTTTTTCTCCCACGATCTTTATCATTTTAGATTTTATATTTAGGTCTTTGATCCGTTTTAAGTTAGTTTTTTGCACGGTGTGAGGTATGGGTCATGTTTCAGTTTTTTGCAGATGTTATATCCAGTTATACCAACACTATTTGTTAAAGAGACTGTCTTTTCCCCATTTAAGGGACCTTGGGCCTTTGTCAAATATTAGCTGCTCATAGGTGGATGAGTTTACATCTGGATTTTCAATTCTGTTAATTGGTCTATGTATCTGTTGTTGTACCAGTACCAGGCTGTTTTGACTACCATGACAGTATAATAGGTTCTAAAATCAGGTAGTACGAGGCTTCCCACTTTGTTCTTCTTCTTCCATAATGCTTTACTTATCCAGGGCCTCTTTTCTTTCCGTATGAAGTTGGTGATTTATTTCTCCATCTCATTAAAAAATGTCATTGGAATTTGGATCGGGATTGCATTGTATCTGTAGACCGCTTTGGGTAGAATTGACATTTTCACAATGTTGAATCTTCCTATCTATGAGTGAGGTATGTTTTTCCACTTATGTAGTTCTCTTTTGGTTTCGTGCAGTAGTGTCTTGTAGTTTTCCTTGTATAGGTCTTTTACATCTCTGGTTGGATTTAAGTATTTTATCTTCTTGGGGGTTTTGTAAATGGTATTAATTTGGTGATTTCCTCTTTGAAGTTCTCTTTGTTGGTATAGAGGAATCCAACTGATTTTTGTATGTTTATCTTGTATGCTGATACTTTGCTGGAATATTCTATTAGTTCCAGTAATTTTCTTGTGGATTCTTTGGGGTTTTCTGTGTAGAAGATCATATCATCTGCAAATAGGGATACTTCTACTTCTTCCTTACCAATTTGGTTGCCCTTTATTTCTTTTTCTAGCCTAATTGCTCTGGCTAGGACCTCCAGCACAATGTTGAATAAGAGTGGTGATAAAGGA